CTCGGTTTTGATTTGTTTTCAATTGCCTGGCTGGCTACTCAGAAAGAGAAAAGTTTGCCGAGAATAATCCGAAATAAGTTGACACCAAGTTTGATTTGCTTTGGATTGCCTGATTTAGCTTTTGTCTTTTCTTGTTCATTGAATTTTATATAAATTAAAAATGTATTCTACTTTCTAAACTATCTAAAAGAAAAGCCATTTGAAGCTTGTCGAAATGATAATTATTTATGTTGTTTGGGGAAGTAAAAATAAAATAAGATTTGGCTTTCGCTTTAAAATATCTTTGAAGTATTCTGAAGTATTAAGTCAACTATCATAAAAAAAGATGGCTCGTTAATTTTTAGATTACCAATCCTTTATTGAAAGCCCTTGAAAACGATCTATTTGCTCGGCTGAACATTTCTTTAGTTTAGAGTTTAAGGGAAAATCAAAATATTTGTGAGCCATACATAAAGTTTATTTTCCTACAATTTAATCATATTTTCAACTCTTTTGCCATGTCAGTTCACACTTTGTGACGTTCCGGCTGGGTTCTAAATTTTCCGGATCTTGTGCTTTGCTGACCAATGGAAAATGGCATTTTAACTTGCCTCGGGCATAGGGGAGGTCCCAGAAATCCTTGGACAGACGACTACGACGAACCACCGCTCGGCCGCAACATTTCTTATCAATCTTAAAAATGCATGAATAATTAAAATATGCAAATTTATGCTTTGTGGAGAGCGGTCGGTTAGTGTGTGTGTGTATTTCACTGGCGGTGACTTTAAAGCCAAAAAGTGAAGTTTGCTTTAAGCATTTCGCTCGGAAAATGTTTGCCCATCCGTGCCGCAACACCTTCTTTCAGTGACATTCATTCCAGCGTGTACAGATTCTTGCGTAAAACGCACCACACCCACCCCTTGTAAACAACATATTATCCATCTCTTTGACCAGAGACAAAAGATGAAAAAAAAAGAAAAATACACAAACATGGCGTGAAAATGCGCCTTTTGAAAAGGACTCGATAAGGCACAAAACCTGAGAATCTGAATCCCGACGGATTCCATTCATCCCCGATGGCGGGTCAGTGGCACCTAAAAAGCAGACGCGATGCAAATAAAGCCCTTTTTGTGTCGGCTAATGATGTTTATCGTACCCAAGACATACACTTCATATATGAAAGGAAACCGTGTGGCATGAGGTTCTTTGGTTCTTTCTGGTTTTTTTTTTTTGTAGCTAATTTATTAATACCTGTCGCCGAGATCAACAAAGGTGCTGCTGCCTGCCGTCTAGTCGTGCCTTTTGTTCCTGATCTCCCCCAACTTTGACATTATTCAAACATTTAGCCTTGTACATTTTCACACTCCCGACGACAGCTTAATTGAAATGCATGAAAATGTCACACGAATTCGGCAGACTGCTGCTGCTTTTGGCTTTTTAATAAATCCCCCTTTTTGCCCCTTCATCGGTTTTTGGCCACGCACTGCTGCCACCTCTCCTCACCAAACACTACACATAGTAGTATTCCAAACCATCCATGCGTTCTATATTTTGTGTGTGTGTTTTTTTTTTGGCGAGGGTCTGGCATCACATCCTATGGCAACACATTTTTGTCTCTACTCCTACGGTTGGTCCACTCTAATGCTGTAAATTAAGTGTTGGCCAGCTTTTCCATCCACCCAGAATTTTCACCAAAATTTCCGTTCACACATGGCGAACAACAACGAACGGGGGGCAGAGTTTTAGTGTTAAGTGTGAACTGTTGTTGTGGATATTTTGGGCGGCACTTGTCGTCAGTTGCATGAGCAGGCTGTGCAATTTTAGTCACATAATGAAAGGTTTTCAAAATGTTAGCCAGCGTGTAGAACGTACCATGAAAATGCATTATAGCCGGTCGAAAGCAGGTCTATCTATGGTGATTTGGTATAGTGAGCTAATCAAACAGAAAGCCTATTTAAGGTTTCAACTAAATTTAAGACCTCTTAATTGTCACTAAATTCAATAAGAAAATACTTGGTGTTTGGTTTTGAAATCTCTTTTAAATGTCATTTTAGGTGTCTAAAAGTATGCAACAATATTTTGAAGGCTCAGAAGTACAATGATATAATTTTACTGCCTACTTTTGGGCACCTTAAATTACATTTAAAAGTGATTTCATAACCCTACAAATTTATGTGGTGCCCTATATATTGTTTTTTATTATTATTTCTTACTTATCACCTCTTGATAAATTTTTCCTCTAACCATATTCTTTTTAGGGAAATGTTTTTTTTTAACCATCCTACCATAGATAAATATTTAGTATTTTTCCCCCGAAAATGAACCAAACATAACAGTTTCAAGAGTGGATTTATCCCTTTTACGCCAGTAAGGACCTCAGATTTTTCCAAATTTGTCCAAGTTTGATTGGCTTTTCAATGCTTTTTCATATGCAAACGTTTGGGTGTTTTTTCCCCCTCAACATTTCGAAAAATGGTAGCCATTTCAAAAGAGGATTTATCCCTTCAATTTTTGTTTTGTTCTTTGATACACGCTTAGTCGGAGTTTTGTCGCTGTTTGCACTCATGCATATTTGCTCTTCGAATAGAATGCACTTTCCTACATTGTTTAATAGAAATGTGCAAGTTTTATTTGTTAATTTTGGCCCAGTTTCATTATTTTCCATTTGTGTCTGTATTTCTTTTTTTTTTTTTTTTTTGGTTCTTTCGTTTTTCGGCCTGTGTGCGTTTGTTTCGTTATGCATTTGCGAGGAAGTGACACTGCAATAATAAATAAAGCAACGCGAATGCAAAGGGGTGATGTGAAAATGACTGAAAATGGCAACAGACAATATGATGGGTTGAAGGGATGAAAAGGGTTGAGAGGGCCAGGACATTTGGGGACAAAAGGACATCGGGACATTGGGACACGATGTGTGGATGCGGATGATGATGATGATGATGACGATGACGGCAACGTCAAATGTCAACATCAATGCTGCCGTTGTTTATTCTTTTTGCTACTGTAGTTTTGCATTTTATGCCTTTGTGCAAAGCATCATATACATATTCACAGGCAACCGCATTTTTTGTCTCTGCGTTAAAATTTTAATTTCACGCTGAAAACACAACACAAACGCTTACACAGAGGGCCCCCCAAATCCTGGCATCAGGACTCCTGTAAAAGGCGAAAAAGCTCCAAACAACTAAGTGAGAGGCAAGACATTTGGGGCAGGATATTCAGGGGGAGGGGGGATTGCCAAGGGATGCAGCAGTTAACAGAGGACCAGAGGGCCAGAGCAAAAACAACCGACTGCAACTAACTTCTGTGTGCCCGTTTATTGTGGATTTTGTCGCTGTTAAATGTTTCAGTAAATGCCAAAAAAAGCAGGCTTAGAAAAGTCAAGAGGGCTGCTACAGCTAGCAAATACCCTTGTTCACAAATGAAACTAGATTATATTAAACCAGCGGTCGGCAGCGTCCCATTAAGCAGACAAAGGAAATATTACTGCCCAGATCTGCCGGCACACGTACAGTGTTGAACAGCAGTCGTCTCACACCCATCAATAAGATGCTCCAAATTACTTATACAAATAAAAATCAAAATGTCATTGTGCTCTGTGCCGACCGGTTTTTTAAACCAAAAAGATCTATTTAAGTGTTTTTTTTTTTAATTTTCATCACAAAATAAAAAAATGTACCAAAGAAAGGTTTGAAACAGATGGCTTTTTTTCTATTTTGTATCATAAAATGAAAACAAAGTTTTAACAAAGAAACCGATACAAAAGGTTTCTTTTATTATAAGTCTGACACACTTATTCATTTTATTTGTCCTAAAATAACTAAAAATGGCTTATAAACATTGACCCAGTGTTTAAAAATAGTCTTTCAATGTTTGGAAAAGTGTTGGAAAACGTAATTTGTGTATATAATTTTATAACAATGTTAAAAAAATTTTTTTTTAACTGTGTGGCTTTTAGGGAACTTTAAGTAACTACTAGGACCAGGTGTTTGGGCTCTAATTGACTGTATTTTTTTGGGCTACAAATATTACCAAGGATACCGAACCGGTTAGTGTATATTACTTTATCGCTCAAAGAACCAGAATTGCCAGCAACAGTGGGCAGATGGAATGCAATGCCAGCTGCTGCCGGCGACGATGGCAGCTGGAATGATCCGCATCCGCATCCGCTTGCTTCTCATCTGCATCCGCATTCGCATCCGCACCCTGATCCCCCCCCCCCCCTCGCTTCCGGACCCCCTTCTCGCTACGTTTTTGCCAATTGCCATGGCCGCCGACGGATTTAATTGGAAAATGTAAATGAGCTTTGTTCATTTGAAAGATGCAGTTGGGAGAGCAGATGACAGTCGCAGCCGGGGCCACTTGACAGCCACCGCGAGAGTTTTCTTTAAGCTTGTCGCACAGAAGGCAAAAAAAAGTGAAATAAAAGAAAATAAAAAATAAAATAAAATAAAAATGGGAATACGCCAGCAGGGGAAAGGGCATTGGGATCGGGAAAACTGAGCAGTAGTGAAATTCCCTTAAAGCTGGCAAGCGTTGCAACAAAGGAAATGTCACCCAGAGGTTGGGGTAAATGCTGACCTCACACAAATACTTATATGCATACTGCGTGTGTGTGTGTGTGGGGGGGGTGTGCGGGTGTATAAGTGTGGGAATCCCATTGTTTGACTTACAAAATGGCGTAGAAAGCGCCAACAAAAGCAACTGACGACGCAGCCAAGCTTTCACACACAAAGTACAAAAAAAGAAAGCACAAAAAAAATATGGCAGAAAACGGCAACTTCCGTATATATATAAAAAAAAGAGTCGTGTAAAACAATACTTTGCTCGTATGCGTATGCGTATATGTATATGTATGTGAGACGCCATATTGTTTGTCCAAAACTCCTAGGCGTACCGCCCTCGCGACTCCCGCTGCTTAAAACTGGCATATGAACACATTTTCGCAACTCTCTCCACTTGCCTTTCGCAACATAATAATTTTTAACCCTTTGTTATTCGCGACTTTCTCTCCGTTGCAGGCGATAAAACACCCGCAGGCTTTCCGGTTATAACCCAGGGTCCAGGCACTCGCGTCATTGAAGTGGGTCACACGGTCCTCATGACATGCAAAGCCATCGGCATTCCGACGCCAAACATTTACTGGATTAAGAATCAGACAAAGGTTGATATGAGCAATCCCCGCTATTCGCTAAAAGACGGTAAGTGGTTTAAAAATACATTCACAACATATCATTCAATATAAAAAATTAAATGAAACATTATATTATTACAATTGTTTTAAAATCCCTAAAAGAAAGGTGTCTAAAAGTATGCAACATTATGTTGTGTGTCTGGAAGTTCAATGTATTCCTTCCGAAAGATGAATAAATTTTCCATTGCATACTTTTAGACAGCTCTCAGAAAAGGTTATCAATTTCTCAGTGCTTTTTTACACTTTCTTAATCCGAAAATTATTTTGTTCCAGTGCTAGTTTCAAAATACGGAACTAGCATTCAGTTTCTTATCCTATATCAAAATCAAATTTTTAAATTCCCTAAAAAAGGTGTCTAAAGGTATGCAACATTACGTTGTTACCCCGGGTGTTCAATGTTTTTATTCCGAAAGAAGAGTTTGTTTTTCATTGCATACTTTTAGACAGCTCCCAGAAAAGGTTATCGATTTCACAGTGATTTTTTAATCTTTCCTAATCCGAAAATGATTATTAGTTTCAATGCGAATTGCAAAATTCGTAATTAGAATCCAATTATAGTAAAATTCCTATACAAAAGTATTAACTTCCTGTTTTTGTAACCCGAGACGCCGAACTAACAAATTACAAATTTGAGTTTATAGGCAAGCGTGTATTATCTTCCATCTGCTATACATTACGTTAAATTAGGTCCCCCCGAAAGCTTTGATGGGGAAAAACAAACGACTTCATTTATGGAAATTCTAGATCCAGACCGTGTCCGTTACCTTTTTGAGCGGGTTCCATCTGCCTTATTTTATTTTATGTTTTTTTTTTTTTTGCTTTAGCTGTGTTTTTCCTTACGCTCATTTGAATTTCTTAGGAGTTTACTTACGCTTCGACGCACTTTGTGTCGCAAGTTTTTGGGCGCTTAGTTAACGTTTGACTTTTGTCAGGTAGCATCCATCCAGCTACTCTCTCACCTGAGCAAAGTTTGTCCTTTGAAACGCAGAATGGATGGGAGACCTTTTTCAGCTTTCGGAAACTTTCCAAATGTCAACAAAATGTCGGCAGGTCCTTTAATCAGGCATCGCAGCATTCGCAGCATTTGATAATTATGTGTTCAATGTCAGGTCGCATCGTTAGCGCCGATCTTCTGCCTTCTGTGTGTCACATCAAAGGGGGCAAAGTGGGCACAAATGGGCAAAACTAACACAAAAGCTGCCATCTGCAGAAGCCGGGGCCTCTGGTCATTAGAGGCACAAATATTGACATTAATATTGACATTAATATGCATTAAAGAGTGCCCTTTAAAACGACATCAATAATGGTCACGTTGACAACCGAAATGGGAGGGGTGGATGGGTATCCCTCCCTCGGAAAACGTGGAAAATCCGGAGGGATGAGAGCTTGTGGGGCATTATTTCAATTGCGAGGACGCGGTGATCGGACAAATGCTTTCCAGCTGGCCATCCACCTAGCCGGGCCTTAACAATTGGAACGTGTTGGGCATGGCAAGAAAACAGGCAGGCAGCGTTAACAAAAACATTATGCCATGTCCTTGCTGGTCCTGTGATCCAACCTCTGCCTGTGGCGCCGCAATGCTAATGAAATGGTCGCTTACGCGTAATGACAGGCGGCCAAACAATTGACTGTTGGCTCCATTGAAGGTCCTTGCCATACAGCTCCTGACTTTCAAATGCCCTGAGATTATCTAAGGTCCTTTTTTATGGTACAGACCTACAGATTATCTGTGTTAGCGATAGGAAAAGGTCAGAAAACATAAATGTATACATACATTATTATTATTATATTTTTGAAATAGCATATTCAGTAGGTCAGTAAATTCTGAATATCAAGCTGAAGAATGGCTTTTAAAATTTTTTTTAGTATTTTTGGACGTACTCATCAGAAAAAATTTATTTTAATATGATTTTCGTTTAAATAAAATTGTTGTTTTTAAAAACTATTTAATATCAGCGATATATACGTAAAATAAGTTTATTTTTCTTATTCGCATTCATTTGAATTTAGGAACACCACTATTTGGAGAAGAACTCATCAGAAAAAGCTATTTCAATGTGTTTTTGCTTATATTAAAATTCCAAATATATTAAAAACATTAAAAGTCAACATAGTATTTTACAAATATTTTTTTTCCCCTTATTAAAACTGGAAATTCTATATATATTGTAAAAGAAAAACCTTTCTTTACATTATTTTGTGGGCGCCAAGTAAATTAAACTTTTTCATTTTGTTCTTTATATTATCTTATAAAAATTAAAACCCTATAAAAATAACGAAATGGATTGTTAAAGTACTTAGTAGAATGTATTCCCCTAGGCGACATTGTAACTATAAAAATGAGCAGGCTTTGGCAAATGGCTTCCATCTTTCTATTCAAGCGAAGTAGATTGCTTGGGTTTCCCCCGACTCCTCAGTTTGCAACCGTTTGAAGCGCTAACCAAACCAAACTATCCATCGCCTTTTTGGTTGGCCTACAGCGATGCAAATTAAAAACTGTTACATGTATTTCCCCAAGGTGAAATTATTTTTACCGCTTCAACGATGAGACTCGGACTCCATGCAAACATAGTAAAGTCCGGGGCTTATTTGTTGGATTCGGTTATATATATATAAATTTTTTCCTCGCCTTTCCACGGATGTGGAGTTCGACTAATTTAGCGCAACACGAACCAAAGTGGCCGTGTTCGCTTGTGGATAAAGCAGAAGGAGAAGGTTTTTGCGGGTTAAATTAGTTTTACGTGGGCCGGGTAACTTCTTCTTTTTTGTACCCCCACCAAAGGTGAGGAGAGGGTCCGAACAGACTGGCACCATCTTTGGCGCGTTAAACGAAACGTAAAAGTATTTCCGCCAGCTAAATATCCTTTTGGGTGCCCTAAAACGTACCTTCTACACCCGCATTTCCGCAACCCCGCGCCTTGAAGCGCACTTTAAATTTATGAAAATAAATAATTCGCCCGAGGTGAGGTTTTGGATGGGTTTGTTCGTTCTTTGCTCTATTGTGGAAGTTCTGAGAGAGTCCTTCGTCCTTCGGCCCTTTGTCCTGTGCATTCCCAATGACGACAATACCGAGTGGCGAGAGAATACATATATTTCGCATAATAAGTTATGCAAGTCATGTGCCGTTTTATTCAATTAGCACTTTATGGTCCTTTATTGTACTACTCCCTCTACTCCTTACATCCATGAATTTTCCCCTGAGCGCGTTGATTTTTCGGTTATACGGCCGCCGCCTGCTAATTAGAGCCTGCAGGGACACGAATGTGGGGGTGGGGTTTTGGGGGTTTTGGGTCCTCTTTTAGGGGTACGTGAGTTATCAAATGAAAAGTAACTCGGCGGCAGTCGTACTTCATTTTCTTCGCGCCATAATTAAATTAGAACTTTATTATTTTAATAAAACCGTCTCGAGAGCCCGAAGGACCTTATGGCGTTCCCGTTCGCTCATTCTCTTTGTCGCACACCCAATCGCCTTAGCTGGATATATTAATGTGATTATTATACACTCCTCTGTAGTACTATTAGCCCTCGGGTAATTCGGAATTTCGCTAAGAATTACAAAAGAACGGACAAGAGATGGGTCATTATATATGCTTTATATGGTTGTTAAGAGCTAAGAACGCTGGAAAAATATTTAATATAATTTCAAGTTTCATTCTTTACAACAAAATATCTCTATGTATGTACACAAATATAAAAATATTTCTTTGAAAATTTAAAGCCCATGAGGACTCAATATTTTAATACTTTTTACCCGAAGTACTCTGCATTCGCTGATTTATTTCGCTCCTTGGGACTTAAATATTTTCCACTTCAGTGTATGGCAAAGGCAAATGACACCGGTCGCACTTCAATGCACAAATACATTTATAAATAATTTATTTAAAATTACTTCGTGGGGCATTTTCATACTCTTTGGCAGTTGGTAGTTAATTTAGTCCTTCGAACCGAACCAAACCGAACCGAAAGGGGTCCCAAAGAGTAGGCTGCCGATAGAAAAGGCAGCGGGCAACGACCAGCGACAATATTATTGAGTATTATACCTTTATTTTTATTTCGCCAAATAGTCCCTCAGGGCTTTTGTTCAATAAAAAGCATAACGGAAGAAATAAAAAGAAAAACCTTTGCAGTAGTAGTGACCACGGTTTTTCCCTGTTTCCTTTACTTAACTTATTTTTTTTTTTTTTGCGAAAAGGTTCTGCCGCATCGTCTGGGGAAATTACATTTTCAGGGTTGGAATTCTCATTGGCAAAAAAAAGGGGGAAAGCAGAAAAATGTTGGGCCTTTTCAAATATCATAATTTGGCTTTTAAGCAAAAGAGGCTTATCAGAAATTGGTTTTGCCTGAGCCAATTGTCTTAATGGGTTGTGTGTGTGTGTGTTAGCAGATGAACTCAACTGAAAGAAAGTGTCAACGAAGGGTCTATCAGGGAGCAATTGAGACGATAATGGTTTCCTTTGCCTGAGCAGGTGCAATGGCAAAATTGTACTCGATAGACTTTAATAGGCAACTTTATATCAATTTATTTGGAATTCAAAAACAACTTGACAACAGTTGAAAATCTAGGAATTCCCCTCCTACACAATTATTCCAACTCAAATGCTATTACAGCACTTTGTAACTTTTAATCTGCTTACATTTATGTTCATCCAACTTCTGACACATTGCTTTAAGTGAATCTAAAGAGCCCACATCTCGTGAACTATAAGCAAAACATGATAATAAAAGCGCAGTTAAAATTAAATACAGCTTTCCTCAAGTGGATACTTAAGTTTTAACTATCTGAATATTGAGTTGGATTGCTCGCAGTATTGCCGGGGTGGCGTAAAACTACGAATAGAGGCCATATAACTTGGAGCAGGTAAACCTTAATGTGGGGAAAACTGGTAAGCAACTCTCAAGACCAGCTTGAGACTGGAGTATAACCGACAGAGAGCTCAGCTTGCAACATCGTCTTATTTTTTATATGACATTTTTATGCCTTCCTTTGTTCGAAACTTGCACGTGGCG